GGCAACAAAATAAAGTTTATTTTAGCAGATTAATTAAGGGCAGTGTAGTACTTCTGCCATTTGGAACTGGCCGTTTTCGTAGACAATTTAAAATCTGAATAGATAATTTATCAGCTAATCAGACACGGAGTATTGTGTAAAGTTGGATAAAATAACTTTTTTCTAATTTTGCATGTATACTTTTTATATAGCTTTCATTAGTATTTTTGTTTGTTTTTCTTATGAATAGATACTGAATACCTGTATTACTGAAAAATTTTAGATAGAATACGAGAGAGAGAAGGGGAGGGAGAGAGAGAGAGAGAGAGAGAGAAGAGAGAGAGAGAGAGAGAGAGAGAGAGAGAGAGAGAGGAGAGAAAGAAATAGATATATAATGAGAAAAGACAGAGAAAGAGAGAAGACAGAGAGAGAAAGAAAGAAAGAGAGAGAGAGAAAAAGAAAGAGAGAGAGAGAGAAAGAAAGAAAGAGTAAAAAAGAGAAAGTGAGATAGACAGACAGACAGACAAAGAAAGATAAAAAGAACCCCAAACAAACAACACACATATCAATATCCTAACAACAAAATCAAACAAAACCCAATCTCCCCTCACCTAAATCCTCCCTCCCCCACTCCTAAACCAAAGAAAAAAGGCCACTCACGCCAATCTCCCTCACCTAATCTCTCCTTACCCGATCTTCCCCCCCATCTCCCCTCACTATTCCCTTCCTCACCCTCCGATCTCCCTACCAATCTCCCTTCACCCACTCCGAACAGGAAAGGTCCCACTCACGCCATCCCTCCTCACTCCACTTTTTCCGAACAGGAAAGCCCATCACACCACAACTTCACACCGAATCTCGCGTCACTTCCTAATCTCCTTAACCCGACTCCCTCATAAACCCGATCTCCCCTCACCCCGATCTCATTCTCCTCACCCAATCTCTCCCTCCCCACTCCACGAACCAAGAAAAGCCCACTTCACGACGATCTCCCCTCACTCCGATCCCCTCACCCACTCGAAACCAAGGAAAGAAGCCCGCACTCATCCAATCTCCCTCACCGAACCCGATCTCCCTAACATCTCCCTCAACCATCTCCTCACGACCGATCTCCCTCACCTAAATCTCTCCCTCCCCCCACCCTGAACCAGGAAAGCCCCACTCACATCACCCGATCTCTCCTCACAGCCAGTCTCCCTCACCAATCTCCCCTCAACCATCTCCCCTCACCCGATCTCCCTCACCCGATCTCCCTCACCCATCTCCCCCCCCACTTCCGAACCAGGAAAGCCACTCACCCGATCTCTCCCTCCACCCAGATCTCGCCACCCAATCTCCACCTCCCCGAATCTTCCCTCACCCATCTCTGCATCAAACCCCGATCTCCCTACCATCTCCTCACCCATCCCCCTCCCCACCCCGAACCCAGGAAAGCCCACCACCGAATCTCCCTCAACCCGATCTCCCCTCACCCACCCGAAACCAGGGAAAAAGCCCACTCATTCAACCCATTCCTCACCCGATCTCCCTCACCCGATCTCCCTCACCATTTCCTCTCACCGAATCCTCCTCCCTCACCTTAATCTCCCCTCCCCATCCCCAACCGCCAAGGAAATCCCCCTCCACATCTCCCTATCCCTCTCCGAACCAGGAAAGCCCACTCACCACGATGGAAATATAGGACCAGTTCGTGAGGTAGTGAAGTGGTAGGCTTTTTTCTTCCGATGGACGAGTCGACACCTCCTTCGCTCACACCAGGCTCGCCACCCACCAGGAGAAGTGGTAGACCGCCCACGCCCACCGATACAGGGCGTACCACAGCTTCACGCCCGGAGTTCGCCGCCCTGCCACTGCACGGAGAGAGAGTGAGAAAGAGAAAAGAGAGAGATATAGAGAGAGATAATTATGTGTTCATGCAGATTCCGCGGCGCGATTCTGATCTTGATGGAATTTGGAGTAGGGAAATCGGACGATGCGAAGGGGGGGTGGGGGTGGGTGTGGGGGGTGGGGGTGGGGGGGGTTGATAGCAACCCCTCTCCTCTCCTTTACTTGTTTAGCTTGTTGCAGTGAGTCTGATGTTTGTAATGGCTTGAATGTGTATCCATACGTACGTACACACTTATATATATATGCATGTGTTTGTGTGTGTTTGTGTGTGTGTGTGTGTTTGTGTACGTGTGTTTATGTGTGTGTGTTTGCGTGTGTTTGTGTGTTTGTGTGTGTTGTGTGTGTATGTGTGTGTGTGTGTGTGTGTGTGTGTGTGTGTGTGTGTGTGTGTGTGTGTGCATGTATGTGTTTTGTGTGTGTGTGTTTTCTGTGTGTGCGTGTGTTTCTGTGTGTGCGTGTGTTTCTGTGTGTGTGTGTGTGTGAATGTACGTGTTCGAGTGCGTATGTACGTATAAATACACATGATTCACCCAGAACGCGTAACGAATAAAATCATTATTCCGTTGATTCTTCTTTTAACTTCTTGCCAGAATCTATCATTTTAAAAATCTTTCTGAAAATCGATAACATGTTA